GATGAATATTCTGCCGTAAAACATTCATCAACAACGGCATCCTGTGCGACAAAAAATTTGATGATGTGCGCCGTGGGCAAAGTGACTTTTTTGCCCCCTCCCCCCTGTATATAAGGAACGGAATTGGAGCTTCGATTCATCACACACTACTCAATACAATCCTAAAAGCGACCTATTTCAAAAGGAACCTGAAACGATATAAATAAGATAGACACGTGCACAAAATCGGAAATAGCTTGTATATGAGAACTGATTATAATCTCACAAATCGGCTGCCTTTACATATGGTGCATGTTTTGCTCTCATCCGTTTATGAGCGCTCATTTCGATAAAGGACAGAGATATTGGAAGTGCGTCGCAGAAACATCTGCAAGTGCAGGCAAATATTGATTTTTGGGTACGAATACAAATATGCTTTCGTAAGCAATCAGAATCTTGCGGAATAATTTTACTACTCTAAATCAAAATGTTACAGTGGATGTCCCAGAGGATGGTAGTTTTTGGCCTCACGTTCATCTAGATCGAGACATGGTAGGTTTGGAGGAGATCAGCAAAGAATAATTCTGTCATTGCAGAGAAAAACATTACCACGATGATGTCCGTAGAACACATCCATTGCCTCTAGAATTCCGAGATTGCTGCGTGGGTGGATGACTTAACATCTGCGAGGCATAACGAAGGAGAAAAGTTAGATCACGTGTGTTCCAGATGTCACGCTGGCCTCTGTGAAACCTTCACGCCACTGAGTTCAATAATTTGTTCCCAGAGTTGGCGTAGCCAGCCGAAACATGTGAATCAGTGAAGAGAAAACATACAATGCGTGAAAAAGAAATCATTTCATAGAACCAACAAGACCAGGAGCCTTTCTGAATTTTTAGAAAGTGAACGGGAAACAGAAACGTAAATTAGGCTGCGGGTTGGGAGGGAATAACACGTATTGATTAGGCGACTAGGCGAGAAGTTGAAAAGTGGATCAGGATAGTAGGCGATTAGGCGGCCATTCACCATTCAGTGAACGAAGCGAAGCAAATCGATACGTATCAATCTTCCGCGCCTAATCGCCTAATTGTCAAATTGCGTGTGCAACCATGTTGCCTTAACCGACGCGGCAGCCATCGACTACTGATCGTGGAATGCAAAATTTGCGCGTCGCTCGGAACGCTCGTTTGGCGCAAAGTATGGACACGCTATAATAGCAAAAAGCCTATGTACAA